AAAAACGTCACACAGATTTTGACTGAAATTAGCGTTATTAAATAACAAAAGGTTCATTTTTGGGTGAACTATCATTGAGGGTGTGGACATTATTAGATAATTTCTTCTATGAGTCTCTTCTAAAGTGTGTGTGTAGTTTGCTGCCAGACCTTGATGGAAAGGGCGTACAGGTGGTTGAGCATCACATGGTTTGGTTCAGGCAGCAGGGTTGGGTCACACTGTTAAAAGTAGACATGGGAACATGTTAGGGAAAGTCTCTGTTTTCTAAAATTGCCCACACTCAGCAATTTCCAACCATAGGCTCTTTATCTTTTCTTATCTCTTTAAGCCCAAAAAGGAACCTGGGGGTAAGCAGATAAACATCAAATTTTCATTTTTGGATGAACTATCCCTTTAACTGCAACACTGTATTTACAAAGAATCGATCTCCTCTCAAATCACTTGCTCACTTTCCATCAGATTTCATGTCTGTAAGAAAACCCAAATGAAGTGTTTAAGTAATGGAAATAGTTTAATGTTCCAGAAAGCTAGCTAGCTAAATAAATAACCAAAACAACAAAAATATACACCATTGTTAATTTTCAATTTCTTTTAAATACTATTACATTATTTATTTAATATTATGAATGCACTTTTTAGATTACTTTTCTAAAATTACTAAAACTTAAAAATTTTTGTTCAAGTTTTAGTAATTTTGCCATATGCTTTGCCATGCGATTTTGTGCTTAAGAAAAACCTAAATTTATTTGAAAAAAGTTATATTGTGAAATATTATTGCAATATAAAATAATGTTTTTCTATTATAATATACTTTACTTTTTTTCTGTGATCCAAAACTGAATTTTCATCAGCCATTACTCCAGTCTTCAGAAATCATTCTAATATGCTGATTTATTATCAATGTTGGAAAGAGTGGTGTTGTTTTATATATATATATATATATATATAAAAATTTTAAACCTGTGATACTTTTTTCTGGATTGTTTGATAAATAAAAATAAAAAAGAACAGCATTTATTTAATTAACCTTTCAAAAGTTTGGGGTCAGTATTTTTTTTATTGATATAAATTTATATATTTATTCAGAAAGGATGTTAAATTAATAAAAAGTGATTGTAAAGATTTATATTGTTAGAAAAGATTTCTATTTTGAAAAAATGCTGTTCCTTTTAACTTTCCATACATCAAAGAATCCTGAAAAGTGTCACAGGTTCCAAAAATATTAAGCAGCACAGCAGTTTCCAGCATTGATAATAAATCAGCATATTAGAATGATTTCTGAAGGCTTTCTACTCATGATGACAGTGAATGAAAAGGAGGCACATTCTGGAAGATGCCTTTTTGCTTTCAGCATGAGATCACCATGTCCTCTGTTGTTTTTTTCCAGTTTCTTGTAAGTGCACACTGACTCCTAGTGTTGAGCATGTAAAAGCACAGCAAGTGGTGCCTTAATTTATCAGTTTTAGTGATTAAAAAAGTGGCCAAAAGTACAGTACCAGAGAGAGAGAGAGTGTCCTAATGCTACATTAACATAATGAAGTGTTTTCTGTTCACTTTTGAAATGTGTGACGCTAGACAATTATGTACAATAACGTAGTTGAAGGAAAATTCTGGATTTGTTGCGAGTTCAGCTCAATCAACAGCATTTGTGGCACAAAGTTAGTTTGTGAGAGAGAATTTAAAAGCAGAAATGTGAAGAAATATATTTTTATTTGAACTAATGTTCAAAAGTTTGTAATCGGTAAGATTTTTTATAATGGGTTTGAAAGTCTATTATGCTCACTAAGGTTGCATTTATTTGATCAAAAAATACAGTAAAAGCTAATATTGTGAGATTTTGTAATATTGTGAACTTTTTCTGTTTTAATATATATTATTAATACAGCCATTACTCTGGCCTTCAGTGTCACATGACCCTTCTGAAATGATTCTAATATGCTGATTTGCTGCTCAATAAATTTTTTTTTATCATTATCAATGTTGAAAACAGTTGTGCTGCTTCATATTTTTGTGGAAACCATGATTTTGGTCAGCATTCCTTGATGAATACAAAGTTTAAAAGAACAGCATTTATTTCAAATAGAAATTTTTAGAATGTAAAAGACTTTATTGTCATGTTTGATACTTTTATTGTCTCCTTCCTGAATAAATGTATTAATTTATTTTTTTTAAATGGTCCCTAAAGTTTTGAACAGCAGTGTATTTAGCTTCTCATTTTCCCCTGCTGTCCTTTGAGTCTATCTGAACAGACCCACTATCGAGGACCAGCTGACTTGCAGCACCTTGTAGAACGTTTAGCGCTATAATTTTTAAGATGATGCAAATACCTCCTGCTGTGTTTCTTGTGCTAACATAGTCTACCATGTCATGCTAATGATCTAATGATCTGTCAGCACTCACCTTTTAGTCAAGGGGATTTTGCTGGACCAGTTGTTGAAGGAGCCAGACAAGTAGATCTCTTTCCCTGGACCGTTCCAGCGGAACACAGTGGGCCTTTCCTCTGGCGGGGCTTTAGTATCTGATTCCTGATCTTGTCGCCAGGCTAGAAACTCCTAGTAAGACAGAGAGAAAGATGGATGAGGTGTGTACAGCTAATAGAAGCAGAGCAGTCAGATATTGCTGCAATAAATGACTTAAGGAACATGTTTTCAAGGTTAGTGTTTCACTGTAACTATACCACCTTGGCGTCATCTGTTTGGAAGATGTCTCCGTCCTCCGCACTGTCCATTAGGATTTTGGGTCGAGTGCCATCTTTGCTACCACGGCTCTCTCGCCTTTGCGTCTTCTCCGCTCCACTTCTCTCACTGCTGGTGTTGCCCATGCTGCTCCTTATTTACATGCATTTTAATGAGACTTCCAATTTTGAACAAGAGCTTTCTTCACAATTCATCTCACTCAAAAGTATATAAACATTATTCACTTGGGGTTTAAAAAGTTAAATGTTAAAGAAAGTCGACCTAAAAAAAAAAATTCTGTCATCATTTACTCACCCTCAAGTTGCTCCAAAAATGTATGAGTTTCTTTCTTCTGTTAAATACAAAAGAAGATATTTTGAAGAATGTTAATTGGTCACCAAACAGTTGACGGTAGCCATTGACTTGCATAGTATGGGAAAAAATACTATTAAAGTCAATGGTTATTGTCAAATGTTTGGTCACCAATGTTCTTCAAAATATCTTCTTTTGCGATCAGTAGAAGAAAGCAAATCATACAGTTTGAAAGAACTCGAGGGTGAGTAAATGATGACAAACATTTTTGGGTGACTTTTCCTTTTAATGTTTAATGTGTCGTAATAATGTTCTTTTCCTACAAGAATTTCTAAAGTACGGGAGTTTCCAAAGTTTAAGTAACTATAAAAGTTACTTATATTAGTTTATAGTATTAATAATTATTGATTTCAAAATAGACGGTAGCGACCTACGTTAAGTAGTGTTCATCTGGTAACCATAACAACCATACGGATGCTCGCGGATAGTATCGGATGGTAAGTCGACAACAAGAAAAATAATGTAATTATTTTCAATTTATTGAAGATTTACTTATCACATACGACAAATATGGCAAAACCCTTACTATTTAGCTTTTTCAGATAATCGACGTTTAGCCAAAATGTGCTAGAGGCGCGGGCAGGCGCCAAAGAACAGTTTGCGTTCCACAAGACGAACTGCAGATTGCAGCCGAAAACTACCTTTATATTTACATTAAGTAATTTGACAGATGTATAATTCCTTAAAAAACGTTGTTAAAATACGCACACGGTTCACTAACAATACTAGCGATAAAAGAAGTAACCTAACCTTTGACCGCTGTTGTTTTGGAAATCACCTAAACGTATTTTATACCTACACGGCGTTTTTGTACAGTTTTATCAGTTTGGAGTTACGCAGCCGATTCAACGGTTGAATAGGCTAACCTAGAAATACCAAGAAAGTAAAAACTGGGATGTTGTTTCTTTGGTCGTATTTTGACATTTTCTTTGTTCCTGTTCTTGCGTGTAAGTCTCGCCTACAGAAACGACCACAGCGTATCTCCGTTTCATCTCGGACTGTGGTGATTTCCCTCATGAATAAATATCTTACCTCTGAAAACTTTATTTGCCTGTAGCCCGCAACTATGTTACTTTTCATAACGCCATTTTCACATTGCCTCACAAAAAGGTTAAATGTTAAGCACACCTCTTCCGCCTGCTGTTCGGGACAGGGGAAAGCGAGCAGGGGACCAGCGAGCTCTGCATAAAGTTAAACCGGTGGAAGACGGGGAGCCTTGTAACACATTTTTCTACTTTTTGCTCTGTCTCAAACTTATAAATGTATATTATTCACATATTTGTTTGCTACAAATTAATGCAGTGTAATCTGCTAGTTATTCACAAACTGCGTAAAAAGTGCAGTTTTGACTAGGTACCTAAACGGATTGTTACACTAATAGAAAAATTTGTAATGTTATGTATGAGTTTATTATAGTAATCACTTACTAGACCACTTACCATCAGCTTTATTTAAGTATTATATGAAATGTGGTTTAGCCTGTTTAAAATAATAAAGGAATTATTTGAGTTCAAACAGCACATATTGTTTTTAATATTTTATTTAAAATATTTTATTAGTATTTTTTAAATATTTTAAAGTAATGTTAATTTTATATTTCATAGTTATTTCATTTAAATGTATTATTATTATTTTTTAGGGGCTGTGCCAATGGGTGTGTCCTGTGATGGAGTGAGCCAGCTGTGTTTGAGTGTCCACACACACGTGTTCATCAAAAGCTTGCAACATTCTCACGGCTGTTCAGTTTCGCAGTGTCATGACATGACTGGCAATGAGGTACTGGGATAGGTGGAACTGTATCCGCGAAGCACACTTCAATAAACACAGACATGGGTGGCAACAGTAGTGAGACGGACCACCAGTACATCTTGGAAAAACATTAGTTAGTAACTCAAGTGAGATTGATGGTAGTGACACACTGATTACTATTACTATAATCACCCGTACATTGAAGTACACTGAAAACTTGTCAATGAAACACTTAAAGTAAATACTACCATTGCATATTTAGCTTGTTTGCTGTGATTGCCAAGACTTGAGACAGATTTAGCTATATTTAACCTTAGCTGGCTATAATATTACATATCAAAATACAGGATACTCCAAGCGCTGCAGATTGCATTGGGTGTAAAGTTGGAGATGGAGTGTCTAGTGCCGCTATAATCCATTATATAACTGTTACAGACACTTGTGCATTTAGTGTATTGAGTCGTTACATACATTGCACATTTATTCATATTCATAAAAATTGATCATACTTCTTGTAATTTTTCATTCATCCAAAAACATACACTGGTTTGTGTTCTGTAAAAGCATCAGCTATTTGGGTTCAAGCATCCTTTTAGTATGCTTCAGGACAAATACAATGTACACCTCTAAACTACACATTTACAATATTTGATGTGCCATCATACTCAGCAAATACAGACGTACAAATGCAGTTGTACTGCCTGCGGAAATAAACAACATCCTTCTGAGATGCTATGAATATTAAATTACTTTTAGTGTAAGATTTCCTGTAGTTCGGATTCTTGGCCATGCTTTGAGCAAATCAGACCCACTTATACATTCCATTTGAAAATATTGATTACTTATAAACCCGGGATGGTTGAAGCTCATGGTGCCACCACAGTGAAACCACGTTCTGAGTGTAGCACAGTGTCCTCCTGCATTAACTGGAACTGATTGCCACCAATTTACAGTGTAGTCTTCCTGTCGAACTGGTTTCTCCATGATCAGATTGCATTCTGTTTAGTTGATATAAAAAAAAGTTTAAAAAAAAAATGTCTTACTAAATGAGAACACAATGAATAAATCATGTTACTTAATAGGATATGCGAGTAAGACAATAATGTACATAAAGGAATAGTTCACAGAAAAATTAATCCTTAAATTAGTAATCCTCAAGTTGTTCCAAACACAGTTTTCCCTTGTGAAAAAGAAAAAGAGAAAATCTGGTGAATAAATAGGAATAGGAGTTTTCAAATCTCAAAAAAGATTAAAATGCTCCCTAAAAGTAGCGAGTACGTCTCTTGTAGTTATCTGAAGCCACATAAAGGCTTTGTGTGATGAACAGACTGAAATTTAAGTTCACTGATAATCTTCTCCAGTTGAATTTGAACCACTGCAATCGGGCCATCAAGTCAGTGAGTGACTTTAAAAAACCAGATCAGTCTAATTTGTTATCAAACTATTTACACTGATTTTGTGAGTAGAATATTTTTATTCATATAGAAGATTCAACTTAAAGGAAAACTGTGTTCACAAATTAAGCATTGCTGCTTCTTTAATGATTACTCTAAGACTTTCAGTGATTAATGAGTTACATTTCAGTCTGTTTCTCATATAAAGCTATCGTGTAATTTCAGAAAACTTGAAATATAGCGCAAGCGCATGAGTCATAAGAACTACTTTTAGAATACTTTTATGGTGTTTTTTGTATTTTTGGCCAGTCCTTCACTTTCATTATACTGAAAACAGTGGCTAGGATTTTCTCCAAAAGTTCATACGGGTTTGGCAAGACTGAGACATGAGTGAATAATGACTGAATTTTCATTTTTACGTGAACTATTCTTTAAACAAACCATATTTATAATATATTCAAGACAGCTTTGTGCAAATGAGTACCGTGGTGAAGTGTACAACAGAGAAGATCATTATGATCACAAGGCCAATGACTAAGGAAGCAATTCCCATGTGAAGAGCCTTTCTCCCCAACCGCTGAGCTCCTTCATAGTCTTCTGCATCATAACTGCTTTGAGACTGAATGAGAGAGAAATCATAACCGTGACGACACAATTTCACAAAATAATTTGAGGATGGAAAAACTCAAAGACATACATTTAAATGAAGCAATACAAAAATTTAGCTTATTGTAAAAATACATTTGTAGCATATTTGGATAGCAACATCAGTGACAGGTCTCCAAGTAAAAACTAGACCTCAGTATAGGTGGCCTATAAAGCAGACAGCAATGAGGGGCATAGTGAAGATGCCAGCCTCATTACGTCTCTCTTAATAAGATCAGACAGCAAACTTAGACTTGGACATACAGCCCACTCGCACTAAATCACATTTACTGGGATGACAAAGATCATCTGACTTCACTAAACTGATTCGCATATTAAAACCAGAATTTTCAGGTTTTGATAACATTTGAGACAAAGCAGGTGGTCTAAACTCTTTATTAGTGGTAAACATCACTACATGTTGTCAGATGTATGCCTAAAACATGAAACATGAAATAAAACAAATTAAATATCTAATGTTTTAATATTTTATGCATTTTAAGTAAATGTGGAAGTAAATCTCAAGTAAATCCTACTGATTACAAAGAAGTTGTTTTTTTCATGAATGAGCATGAAGTTTAGTGAGAAAAAAATATTTTAAAGGATCAAATCACTGCTCTTGTAAAGATAAAGATCATGTGTTAACCACTTTTGACAATGATACTGTATGCATAAAACCCCCCAGTGTGTCAGAGGGCATTAAGCTGGGTTGATTTGTGATGCTCATCTAGTTTCTCACAGGCGGTGTGGTGGCGTCTGCAGCTGCTGTAGTCAGCGAGCCCTAAAGTTTTAATGTGTAGCAGCGGTAGAGTCAACTTGAAACTGGAGGTGTTGCTCTCCACAGCAAGCCCCTGCACTTTACCCCATTCAGAGCCCACTGTCTCTAGTCTGCTGGTGGCATTTAAAGCACAGATTTGATTGCTGAATGCAGGGGAAAGGTATGACAGAAAATGATTCATTTTTATGATGCGGATGAATCACATTTATGCCATGAATCACTGTACCTTACAAAAATATACAAATGAACGTATGCTACATTTATACCCATTTTGTCTTGATCCGCACCCCCTGATTCATTATACATCACTGATGTATTATTCTTTATTCCTATGGTGCAGTGCTTAAACCTGTAAAGCAGAAATTATTACTTATAAATATTAAGGTTGTTATTAGACTAAAAAACTAAGCATTAATCTAATGTTTTTTTTTTCCCAGTTCACCGACAGTAGCAATTATTATTGATTAAAAACCTTTAAATAATATTATTTTAAAAAATCATTTAAATGTGTGTACACATTTATAATGCATTTAAATTATAAAAATAATATGGTATAAAATTATTTATTTTGAAATAGCTTTAATTTAATAATTATTTTATATATATTTTATACAATTATTTGAATATATATACACTATTTACATAATTTTCTAACATTGATATTATATATATTTTTAAATGCTTTTTTATTTATCATTTACAATTATTTACCCACAATTATTTAAGTGTACTATACATTAATATTAATTATAAAATTTATAATATTAGTGACTTCAATAATACACAGGCCTCAGGTATTTGCCTTGTAATGCTCGCCTAGACAGGTCACACAAATAAAACACGGTTCTATTCTCGTGTCTGATTTAGGCGAGCGTTACAGCCTCAACATTTACAATTAATATACATGATGTATATAATATATAGTATTAATGTTGAGTCGTATTGATGGGGTCATGGTCTTAAGACAAAAAAGAATGAGAAACATTGCTTTTTAATATATATTAAATTCATAGCAAAAGTAACTTTCTTTTGAATTGACATTAAAAAGAAAGTGAATTACATGTTAGTGGCCAGATTGTAAGACTGTGTCTCTCGTTCTGAGGTCAAGGTGTGAAAAGTCAGGTAGAAAACCACTGAAAAAACCTTCCTGTTCATCTACAGTATAGAGAACAACAGCCTGAGAAAGTTCATCATCACAGTATCCACCTTTTACGTGCCTTGTGCAAATGAGCACATCTGCAGGCTGCCGTGTGAATGTTTGAGCAGGGGAAAGGGTGTGTGTGTGAGAGTGTATGCAGTCTTGCTTGCAAGTGTGGGAGTGCTACAAAAGTGAACTGCACAGATACTTGAGGCCGGTCTATTTATAACACTTATATGTCTATCTGGACCATAAGAACATTAGGTTTAGTCAGATTTCAAAGCCGCATGTATAACACTCTGCCAAGTGCAAAACTATAAACACACAAAAACAACTCTTCAGAAAAACACCAGATAAGACCAAAGATAAACTGTACATTATGATCTATATCCTCAGTTAACAAATGTGATTTAAAAGGATAGTTCACCCAAAAATGAAAATTCTGTCATTGTTTACTCTCATGTCATTGCAAACCTGTACTATGTAACTTTCTTTCTTCTGTGAAACACAAAAGAAGATATTTTGAAGAATGTTGGCAACTAAACAGTTTTGGTCATCATTGACTTCCACTGTGTGGACAGAAAAATTCTCAAAATATCTTTTTATTGTTCCACAAATTATGACAGAATTTTCATTTTTGAGTGAACTATTCTTTTAAATAAGCAGCATACGAACATGCAACTGTCCAGGTAGATACACTCCATAATATAAAAAAACAATAGTCTTTTCTACTCACCATTAGAGAAAAAACCAGCGCCACAATGTTAATAGGCCATGCCGGACAAAAGCAAGTGAAAATAGTCAAAAAAATGTAATTTTTCAGTGGTGGTGCCCCCTGCGCCTCAGCACACCTTCCAAAACTGTGGTCCGAGCTTCCATCGATAGAGCGGTTTGTCTTTTCGTCTGACCGTTGAAGACCAGGACTCATGATGCAGGAGTAACAAGCAGTGTGAGTTAGGAAGGATCAGGAGAGGGTGAGAACATTTACAAGAGCCGTGCGGAGCAGATCAGGAAACTGAATGGAAGACTGGAGGAGAAACAAGAAGGCAAGAGCTCATGGAGACACTCATGGGGATGTCAGATGATTGGGTAAGTGTGAAAGGCGATGGATGAGACGTTGAGTGAGTCAGAGATGGCTTATGACCTAATTACCACCCGGGCTGAACACTATCCCACTTCAGAGAGGGAGAGAGAGAGAGACTGTATGCAGGACGCTGAAGCAATGTAAGATGTAAGAGGAGAGGCAAGCGGAGAAAAAAAGTCTGTCTACTTGCCCATATTACCATTATCTGTCAAAGGGAGAAGGGAGTGTTAAAGTTACAACTGATACAGCCATATGGATAATGGCCCCAAAATCACATTACAAGGCTGCCAAGAAATGCACACTGGCAATTTTCCCACGGTTTTAGTGAGGAGGGTGCAAACAGCGCAGTATAGTGTACAAAAGCTGAATCACGCTTTACTGTTATACAATAGTGCTCTGGATGATACAGTATGGAAAAATCTTAAGTAACACTTTATTTTACAATGTTCTTATTACACATATCTCATGTATATACTATAGTAAAACCAGTAAATGATGCATAATTACATGTAACCATAATTTTCTAGTAAGGACATATTGTTAATTAATATTCAATCACTGTAACAAGGACATCTTAAAATAAAGTGTAATCACATGTTCTATGTATGTTCATATATTATTTTAAAAAAGGGTTTAAATATGTTTTCAAGGTTAAAATATTTGTATTCTTTTTTCTTTTCAAAAATGTCATTCTTTCATTAATGTTTATTTGTTCATTATGATATAATGACAGCTGTTTCATTTTTTGGCCTCTTGCACCTCAAAAAAAAATCTCAAAATACATTTTAATACAGAAACTAAAAGCATGTTCATCGTAGAAAGTATGAATTGCATCGTTTGTATGAGTTGCATTTCATTGTATTTTTTAATCAATTAACAGATTTGCTAAATGAATAATGTACATTTGACAAAAAAAATAAAAAATTGATGCCACTGACTCAACTGTTAAAAAGTGAAAATGCTATAATGTGAGCTCAAGTAGCCTGTCTGTGGGTGTCACCGTAGCGTGTGAGTCTATGCAGATAAGGTGATGCTTTGTTTCAAACGGCAGGATACACCACACAGGAAAAATGAAAAACAGCTGCCTCTGCTAACTTGAGAAACCCGCTGTCTATGCAGGTTAAATAAAATGACACGCACCAGTCTCTCTGCTCTCTTCGTAACCATCTGGTTCTCCGGTATTATCGTCCCTTTTCCTCCTCAGTAGCACAATTTAATATAAAGATGCTGCTAGATTTATAACAATTAAATGAATGAATTACTTTACTTTTTTTTGCTGCTTTCTCACAGGTCTCGTCTCTGGAGATGCATCTTGGGACATATCTGTGTGGCAAATACCTGAGATAACAACAAAAGAAGGCACCAATGCCATCATCACCTGTCATATTAAAGCTGATTCACGCGTGGAAGGAATCATGGTTAAGTGGTTGCGAGATAATCAAACTATAGTGGCGAGTGAAGCGATTGTTAAGTCTGCCTATCCATCGCCTGTAAATGGATCTGTGTTTATCAACGCAACGCTGCACCTGCAGTCAATAAGTCTAAATCATAGTGGCATGTATTACTGCACAGCACATATGAATGTACCTGGACTTGGAGCTGTTGAATATGGAAATGGGACGCACGTGTATGTGGGTAAGCTTTATTTTGAACTCATTTTATAATTTTGATTCTATTCTGTTAAAGGACTGAGAATACAATACATTTTTTTATGCAACAGTCAATGCACTCCACACTTTTTGGTACTCAAAAAGTCTAATGAACAATCCAAATGATAGACATTTATACTTCTCTCTCACAGCAATTGTAGCGTCTAATTCAAGTACAGCGATAACACCAACTCTCACACCTGTGACCCTGGGATTCCCACCAAACCCCTATAATTCAGACATAGTGATGTGGGCCGTTCTTTCAGGCTTGGGTTTTGTTTTGCTGATCATCTGTATTGCCTGTGTTATTCACATACATTATAAAGGTAAGAAAAATTGTGATTTTAAAATTGTGTATTTCTTTTAAAATTGAATGTTTATGGATTTATCACAATGTGCTTGAGATTTGAAGCTCACTATCAATTTTTTTTTATTATTATTATTTTAAGTAGGACACAAGAGAATAGAAACTAGAGCAAAAGAAGCCCTGGTGAGTGAAGTTTGTTGATTTATTTAATTTTTCCATTTGATTGTGAATATTGGCAGAGCTGATGGTCTTTCAGAAAAGTAATATTGTAGTTTTCAAATAAGTTATTTCACTCTCAGGTTGATGCTACCCGTGGATCACACTGCCTTGAAACTCGTGAAACGGTTGTTTATGCAGCATTAAACATTCCTCGAGACAGTGTGAAATCAAGAAATGAGGTAAATAATGCCTATCAAGAGCCGTTTAGTCTGTAGTATTCAACTCATGCTTAGTTAATTGTTACATGTTAACAATTCAGAAAGCAAATGGACAGCATTGTTTACTTTTGCACTTGCACTTTATATGTAACCACATGCAATTATTTTGTCATTATATCATGACTTATTTTTTAGAACTGTCCAGCTCCGACACACACTTCAGTGAGCTGCACCGAGGAGTCAGTGACATACTCTGAGGTCCACATAAAGAAAGGACCAAAGGATGAAGTTTAAGCATTATTTGCCTGAATTTTATTCACACTGTAATCTCTTTCGCCTTGCATATGACTGTCATTGAGTCTTTTAATGGCACTTGAAGCTTTTGGTCTTGTTTGGCCCAATTTAGTAAGGGTGTTTCTGTAAAAGTGTATTTCTTTTTGTGTTTCTTCATGTAATACTCATGAAGACTGAATTATTAAATATTGTCGGCTCACATTTGAGTCTATTTTAAGATGTATTGTGCTCAAGGTGCATGTGTATATATATTTAAGATAAAATTATAATAACACATTTTCTTGTGTCTTCCAAGTGATTAAGGTTAAGTAGTGAGCTTGAACATACAGTATTTTTATAGCATTCTTCAAAAGGTGACTGCCAAACAGATATGCAACCTCATAGAATTGCAAAATGTTTTGTGAGTAGTTTATTTGCTAGTGCTTTTATTTTTAAGACTGTTTAAGTATGAAATGACTTTATATAGGAATTAAACTGCAATTGTTAAAATGGAAGTTAAAATAGCTCTTTAAGCTAATAGTTGCAGGTTACTACTTTTTACAGTGTCAATAGCAAGTTTTGTAGCAATAAGCGTGATACAAGAAGATGACAAAAAATAAAATGTTTAGTGAACAGAGATGTTTACCAAAAAAGACTGATACGTGTTGCTGCCTACGCAACCCCATTTAGCGACTTAACGGTAAAAGCCCTAGTCATATGACGTGCTTCAACAACAAGATAATGCTGTTTCATCCTGAGCAAAATCTTTAGTTTCAATATATTTTCACAAATGTCCCGTGAATACAGATTTCTGTGTGGGAGTGTTCAGTGTGCGCTTTCAGAAGACAGAATCGGTTACAGACTGTAGGCGATTTGACATGCTCTGAAGCCACAGGTGAATAAAAAAAAGACTAACAAAATTAACAGGCAACGTCTGGTGTAAAGTGAGTCATGCCGTTTTAAATCATGTAGGAGTTTTGAAATTTGAAATAATTTAATTGGCATTTCCAAATTTACTTTTTAAATTTTTTTTATTTCATTTTATCAGAGAGGGTCAAGCTTCAAACAAGAAACATTAAAACTTTCAATTAATAACAGCCATCCTGTTTACTTCATAAAAAGTGTTATATTAGTGTTGCTACTTTTTTTTTTCACCAGTACCAGAATCTTCAGTTAATTGAAGCATATTTATATTCCAATTATTGCAACACTTTAAACCTCTAAAAGAGATGAAAGGAATTGTGTTATGGATATAAACTTGGTAAAAGCAACAAAACAGCATGGAAATAGGGGTTACACTTCACATTTTAAAACATCTTACTGAAGATAATACATTAGATCATGACAGCATCAGACATGCTTTCACTCTCAAACACACACAGACACACACTCACTCACTCAACAGTAGCATCATTCACATTGCCTTCTGTTCTGTCACAAAAAAACACTGAACAAAGTTCATCAAATCATGAAAAAAACAAAAACTTTTTTGGACACAGAATATCATGTGTTTGCGTTCTTGAGTGTAAAAAAACTCTTAATCACGCCGACAGATTTCACCAGATCAAAAAGATAGTATGTACAATATTTTACACAAACAAGGTCGAATCTAAGTCTGAGAAATATGTTCTCCTTATAATTACTGCTATTTTCATGATCAATGTAATAAATCCAGTTGCAAAACTAACAAAATATATATTTTGACATCCCATCACACTATATTCTTCAGTAGAAAATGTACCAAATGTGTCTGAAAGCGATTTAGTCTTTTAAATACGCTACAAAGATCCAAATAGTTTTGACACAGATTATTGCTCTTATGCTGTTAAAATGAAAATGCTTTTCTACAGTTACAGACCTACATGTACATAATGCCATCACAAAAAAGACAAAACTTTGAACAAGAACTGAGAGAGAAAAAATAAAACTAAGACAAAAAAATAGACTTAAGTTGATAGCGTTTAAAACTGAGAAATGAACTAGTTATTTACAGGTTTAGCTCTATATAAGAGGAGCAGGAGGTTAGTTTAGAGACTGATATGACAGTAATTCATAAAACAGGAAATATGTCACATCACATTAATAGTGTTGCAGCCGACATTCCATCAGTTTAGAGTTGATTCATGTCATCCAAAACCATTCAAAAACAGAGAGCTTGAGAAAATAACAAAACGCTGCGGGGCACGTAGAGTGCATCCGTTATATTCGATTGAAATCACCACATACTTCAAAAATCCTTCCTTAAGATGTGTGGAAGACGTCAGAACCATGAATACTATTGTACCTGTCACTCATTTCAGTGGTAGCCGTTAGTAAATGCTGTGGCAATCAGAGGGCCCTGTAAAGATACAAATAGGGCATGAATTTTAATGCAGCATAAAGGAATCCACAGGAATAACTTGCTTATTTTTACTTATTTAAAG